TATCAGCAATTGTAATACAAGGCCGTAGGCTACAAATCGTATCTGAGCTAGCAACAACTTATTAATTTGGCCTCGTGCAAGCTCAACTTGCATTATGCTGTGGAAAAAAGAAAAAGCGACAGTAAACGTCTAAATCATGATAACTGGTTAATTAAAATAAAAACCCTAAATATTTTAACTCCCAAAAATATTGTCTCACAGATTTGTCATGCATGCTACCATCCGAAAAATAACAGAAGCTAAAATAAGAATTTTAAAAGTTGCTTTGCTTTAGAAGTTGCTAAAATGTTCTAGTTAAATTCTTTCACAGAATTTCTTGGAAAATTTTAAAAATTTCTGGAGTTGTAACATTCAAATATTTAATACATTTGAGCTGCAAATATTAATACTTTAATATAGCTATTAACTTAGAAATATGAAAAGATGTTTTCAGGCTATGTAGCAATGTAATTTCAAACTCTAAATTTATGAATCTGACTTAAGGTCATTTAAGGATCATTCATTTCTGAAATAAATATACTAACTTAAAAGTCATCATTCTAAATTTTGAAATGTGATAAAAAAAATTAATAATTAAAGTGCATAAACTTAATTATGCACCATTTCAAGATTTTAAGTAAAATTAAACACTAATATTTGTCAATTAAACATTAGTCAAGTCTTCAAAAACTGCTTTATATCTCTCTATAATGGATAAAAACAGATTAAGTCAAATAAATTAGTCAAAAAAGTGAGTATAGAAATAAAAGAATTTTATAGTTTTAATTTGCATGAACAGATGAAAATGTGATAAAATCTTCAGCAATTTTTTAAGAACGTGTTTTCAGTATTTCCTTAATGGGAATTTCTTTTCCTCTGCTATTTAGTGATCAACAGTTATGAAACTGCTAAACTAATGCCTATGAAACAGTCTAAATCCAGATAAACTACAAACCAGGCTATTTTGCATTTTCTAGGAGATCAGATGAAAAATTTGAAGTCTTGCAAAAAGCAGGAGAGCTGGCAACTCAGTCTTGAAATACAAAATGGTATCTCACTGTGAAAAGTTCTCTTCGATTGTTTTATTTAGATTTAGACCCTGATAGATGTTTCCTTTTTCTTTGGTTTAGTTTATCATCTGCTGAGCAATGGGGGTATCAAGAAGGATCAACTTGGCCAAAATGTTTGCAGCAGGACCAGAAGTTATGGGTTATTTATATAATGAAAAGTGCACAATAATTATCTTAGAGAAGGCATGCCTTCATGGAGGACTTTCTCAGGGATACTGCTTTGTATTCTTGTTACACGTGGGGAAAACCATTTGAAACACTCATGTCGCAAATCCGTTCGCCTGGCTTAGAAGTCAGGATGAACTACCAGCATTTGTCAGTTGTAACTGACAGGCCACTGTCAGGGCTCGCAGGACTGAAATTTATGCAACATATTGGCAGCTGCTATGAGATTCCTTAACTAAAGGAGAATGCTTTTACAATTACCAATTTATAGTTCTGATTGAGTTAATATATATATAATAAGTTGAAACCAGTTTTGTGAAGAAATGCATATCATAGAATAACAAATCTAGCCAAGATAACAAACACTTCATTCATACTTTAATTTAAACAATTAGTCATCCACTGATATAGTCAAATAATGGGAACAGCCGCTTGACAAAAATCACATATCCTTTAGTAGTATAAAAAATATTAATATTCTTTAATAACTAACCTACAGAGAAGCATAATTAATTAAAATTAAAATTTTATGAATGAGTCTACTGAAATTTGGTCAGTACTGGCAAAGCTCTGCTCTCAAAAAAAAATTTCTTAAATACTTCAGAGATTTATAGTAAACTTAACAACTGATATAATATTATGTTTATTAATTTATTCTCCAAACGTGTATTTCACGGCAGAAAACATGTAAGAAAAGAAAAACAATTTGACAGAATGAAATGACGCAACTAGAATCTCTTGCTACTTCAGCATGTTTGATGGAACCTAAATATACAGCTAACTTTGTTCTTTTCGATTAGGGAGAGCACTTAGGAATTTTTTTTAATTCCATCATACCAAGCCTCAGCAGTCTGGCTTGTCTTGTAGCAAAAGCTGTCCTTACAATTATCGCTCACACATTTTCCATTTAATCATAGATTTGTTTTTTATATGTGATTAATTTCATTGTCTGGAATTTGGAACGTTTCACAGGAAATCGTTCTTAATTTCTCTGATCTGGCAATTTTATATGTGTCATATCCATCTGCTGAGGGCATGTAGGATATTTTAAAATGCCAAAGGGGTTTAGTTGGCCAGATTCAGACTCTTTATTTAAGTGAATTCATGTGGAATTTCATGCATTCCAAGATAGAGATGTTCTCTGCTGTGCTAAATGCCCTTTTTAATTCTATGTATGCATACTGTTAATGTTATTTTTATGAATGCAATTTACTTTTTACATGATTCTTTTTTAATATGTTCATTAATTACTTTTTTGCACATCTTAATTTTTTAATTTATTAAGAGACAATAAAAATAATTACCTTTTTCTGCATTTAATAAAAAAGGGAGGTGAAAAAAAAATCTGAAAGTTTTCAGATTTTATATTATGCCTAAATGGACATTTTCTTTTTTATTTACCGTGCCACTTTGGAATGAAAATATTTAAAAACAGAATATATTTTGAATTTATAATAGACAGTCTCACCTGCTGGAGATAATGGCTCTAGGTACCATTGTCTTTTCACAATGCAAGCAACGTACGTTCAGGCATTCTTTAATTTCTTTAAATATAATACAAGGCGATAACATTCGGGGGCAACAATTTGAAAAGCGATTCAAGACTTTTCTAGCAATTCAAAACAAAATCCCATTTTGTGAGTAATAGCCCTTCTTGGCTGATGGCATTTGGGCTAAAACGTTTGGAGGATGAAAACCTAATACTGATGCAAAGGTGTGGAAAGTAAACAATCTGAAAGGCACCAAATATGCATGATATGGCTTTAACAAAATGTATAGTATACTCCAGATATCTTTCATTTCACAGAACCTGAAAAAATATTCATCTGCCTATCATTGAAGGAGTAAAATCCATTATTTGTTATTGAATTTTACATGCAGTATAATTATCTGCCTCTGATACTATGTTAGACAAAATCAATATGAAATAAAAAATTAATATGTTATTACTGATCACATTATTTTTATAATGACAATGCCCTTTCTCATGCAATGAAACCTGAAAAAAGAAGTACCATAAAAAGTATTATTCTTGGCTACTGATGAACACGGATTATATTACATAAATAGATCTTACTCTAATAATTAAATTTTAAAAATTAAGTACAGATAGAAAACAGCTTCATGGAGAATTAATCCAACCATCCAATGGAATATGGCTTCAAAGCTAGTGACATACAATTATGTAATCTTTCAAGTTAAAATTATGAATTGCTTAACAAACGCTGGAGATTCAACATCATTATATGCCCGTCTTATCACATTTAGTTAAATATCTGTAATCAATGTAATTAATAATACACCTTATCCATATAATCTATAACAGATCTTACAGACGCTTTTCATAAACATTTGCAATGTTACGAATTTTAAAAAGATTTAAAATGTGATGAATTTTTACAAATATTTACACCCCACCCTGATCAGCAGAGTGGTTAGTGCTGTTTGCTGCCTTATCATTGAGGTCAAGTTTCAAATCCCATAGAAGTCTTGGATGTTTGTGAGGGTAAAGCATATATGCATGTCACAGGGGCACTTAAAATAGTGGTCAAACTAATGTCTCGTTGAGAGGTTTCATATGAAATAACTGGCTGAGAGGTGTAGTTGGTATAGAATAATAGTTTGCATGCTGCATAACAATGAGTTTTAACCTTCTGCACTTTAGTCCCCACTCAACGTTGTGACAACTTGAGTGAGGGGTAACATCAAAAATTACTTTTTCACATTTTGCTGCTGGATATCTTTCAAGAGTTGTAAAACTTAGAAAGCATGGCAAATTTCTCTTATTACTAAAAGAATAGTTAAAATTTATCAGAAATGTTAAAAAAAATATGAAAAATGTATAATCACAATTTTCTGGTTTTACTACTTCTATTCAGCATTACTAAAGGGAACTTAACACCAGTATTATAAGACAAAATAGATGGACTACATCAGGGTTTTAAAACACATAGATATGCCATATTTACTTGCATATTTTCTCCCTCAGCTTTAAGTAAAAGATTCTGAAACTCTTTAAGTATTCATACAATTTTCCCCTTCAAGGCATTCAGAAAATGAGCTTCCCTAAATTTTGAAATGGATTCTCCAACATAGTGACTGTTTTCATCATACTAACTGATTGATTTATTTGTGAATTTACAGTCTGGGATCTGATTGGTAAAGCAATAATAGACGACACAAACAGCAATAGCAAATAACACAAACAGCAGATCTAGTAACAATTTGAATACTAATTTGATTTGAGGCCTACAGAATAGCAGTGGACTAAAATAACAGCAGGAGAGATTCAAGATACAAGAAGCAGAAATGAAGATATTTTGTCATGTCATGATAATGTTACTATTACTAAGTAATCATACTAAAATAAAGGCTTCTTTTAAATAATTTTGTGATAGTTACCAGTAATTTATCCATGAACAAATTATACTTTTTATGATCTTACTGCAACTGCATCATTCAGATATTAAATTACTTGCATAATTCCCCCCCCCTCTGAATTTTTAAATGGTAAAATTTGTAAAAAAAGGGAGACAAATACATGTGTAAATATGGTACTTAACAATTACTGGGTTTTTTAGATTTAACTTTTCCCAAAAGTTATTTAATTTATTAGTTAGCAATACATACTCAGCAGTTGTGTTTTTATATTTAATGTGTTAATTTTCAATTAGTACTTAGAAAATCATACCAGCATTTATTCATTAGTCTTAAAGTAAAGTCATCATAACATCTTTTACAAATCACTAGATAGCAAACTTATAAATAAAACATAATTTCTCACGATTGTACAAGAAAGGACTTTTTAATTCCAGTTTTATTCAGTAACTAAAACTACAAGATGTTACCTTTTAAACAGTTGTCATGAATTTTTATACTGCATTTTAGAATTGTCTGACTCAGTGAAACATAATTTAGATTAAATAACCCATATGAAAAATAAATGGATTAACAAACTTTGATGGATAAAATACAAACTTAAGGAAAACAGCATTGTCTTTAATAATTAAATAGCTAATAAATAACTGGAGTTAAAATGGATAAAAAGACAATTTTAAAACAGCTATATACAACTGAGAATTAACAATGTACATAAAAATTTCATCCACAATGCACAGACATTTTACAACATTACTAAGATACTTAGTTTCATACATTTTTGTTCTACAGACAATCAAACTTAACAAGTAAAAAGCATACTACAAACAAAAGGAACTTTAACACTGCAGGAGAATTACAATACATATATATATAATAAATATATATACACACAATGAAACCAATTAGTATATTATGCAATGCAAGTATTCTATAAGTTACATATGCTTGTTACATGATTACAAATGTTTCAAAATCTTATAACAAACAGACAAATGCATTGGGAAAACTAAAAACATAAATTCTGAAGAAGCTCTCAAAATGTCTGATCACAGAGCACAGATTACAAAAAGGGAAATTTTAGGCAAAATATATAAAAGCTAATTGTATTGTTGTTCTGATGATCGGCCCGCTTCTTCATCTGAATTCTCATTATTAGTTTCATTAAGATTCTGTTGATTTACAACAATGGAAGACAACTGTTTCCATACACTAGAGTCATGATTTCTGCATATATCACAAACCAACTTATTGAATACCTCAGGTCTATCAGCATACACATGATGTCCAGCACCTTGAATCATCTGAAAAGGATGAGAGGGGAGGGAAATTAAATTTATTAAATTAGAACTTCCAATTAAAAATAAAATGCTGTTTTATAGTCACTCGTTTCTATAAATTGGGAAAAAAAAGATGAAAGTTACCTAATTTATACATATTATGTACAAGCGCTACTGAGACAATATTTCATATGTAAAACATCATTAATTCATGGAAAATAACTTGCAATGCTCTAAAGTTTACAATGCTTATTATAAAAAATATATGAAAAAGAGCTATGTACTAACAAGTTAATTTTATTGCTGTTTGCTTCATCTTGTTTCCGACTTATCTAACTTCAAAAGCACATAAATTCAATAATCTTAAAACAAGTTGCAGAATATTCAGAAGTACAAGAGTTTGATTAAAGTTCGTTAAAATCCTATGAAAAAGGCTACATCTGATTCTTAACAAATCTCATGCAAACTTCTTTCAGTTTCCTGTAGCAGTGATTAGGTTAGCAATGTACGTAATGAAAAGATATTTGTTTGTTCAGATTTAATGCTAGTTAGTGAAATTTTAAAAAGTATATTTTCATGGAAACTATTCTAAAGATGGTAGTTAATGCTCAGTTATCTTCATGCTCTAGAATATTTAAATTTTTAATTTACAGCTTTGACTGTCTGGCACAATAACGTTTTCACATTATCATTTTTAATTTTAGCATGACAAGTTCTGATCACCAATAAATATTTTATCTTAATGTTCCTTATACCAGCATTAGGCCTTGATCATCAGAACTTTATTTTGGACAACAAAATATGATAAATTTAAATACAAATATTTTAAACAGTGTAAAAAATCTACATCAGTAATTTTTTAATGTTAAAAAAAAAGAAACAAATACATGACAGAAATTTATGCTCTGGCAAAAGCAGTCTCAATATTAATTAATCCCTCTTCCCCCTACCAAATAAAATTCTGCAGTGAGAAACCTAATTAGTTTCAGCTGTTATTTATTATTACACATTATTATTATTTATTATTGCAAAGAAATGCCTAACACATCAGAAGCACGAACAAGATTTGTTACACATAATACAACGGGTATGATTTAAACCAGCACCTGAAATATTAAATTTAAATTACAATCTAGTCCACAGTTCTGCATATCTGGACATTATTTTTAATAATGTATAACAATGATAATATTTTCAGGGGAAATAACTTTCGGAGAGACATGACATGTTTTGAAGTACTATTATTTTATTGCATAATTACACATACACACACACACACTGTATGAAAGAAAATATACAGAATATATGCACCAAAGCCATGCAAAATAAGTAAGTTGATTTTTAGAAAGAGGGGGGTGGACATCTTTATTCTGCAAAAGAATGGCATAACATTAATCGTAATTCTCATTTCAATAATGTTTCAAAACAAAACTGGAAAATACCATTTACACTGCAATGAAAATTGTGTTCAATTTTAAGTTATTTATTATTAGGTAGAATTACAGAATGTGGTAATTTCTATATTACACTACTTATTTTTAAAGGCAATTACACTTCTAATGACAGCAGTGCCTGAAATGTTACATTTCTAAAGAGAAGGATAAACAGTAACTCATAACAGACAGAGAAGACAGTCAGACATGAAATTGCACTAGAACTGAGAAGAGCAAAATACTTTCTAAATGGAAAAATATATAAAGTTTACAACATCTTAACTTCTTTCTAAGAGGAAGAATTTTTATTTATTTGTTACAAAATAAAAATGAGCTTTTCATTATTTGAGAAGATTTTGTAAATTTTTTTAACCTCCCTCTCTCTGAAATATTCTGATTTTTCCTGACATTTTGGATAAGGTTTTACACTTTCCACAAGCATAATAATTTATTTCCCTGACATTCCAAGACTTTCCCAACAAACGGAAACTCTGCTCTGAAAGGGGTCAGATTTAAGTAAGAAAAAAAATTATGTGGAATGGATAGCTATTCTTTTCTAACCAAAACTGATATTTTTAATGGATCTGCTACAGTATATATGATGATTAGTTTGTGAAAATTTAATAATGACACAGGGAAACTGCCAAACAAAATTATATAAAACCTAAAAAAACTAGTTATTAAATGGCAGTGGAAACAGAATCGTTTTACATCTTTGATTTTTGCAGATTTATATTGTTTGACAATACATTGTATTTCTACTACTGACTGACTACCATACATTAAATATAGTATCCTCTTTGTTTATTTATTATATTTAACTATTTATTCCCAGGAGCTTCTCTGTCACAAATTTTAAATGTTTTGTTTCTTATTCTACACTACAGATCAGGATGCTTCTAACTTTTTTACGTGATGATTAGGACGAGTCCGAAGTTCTCATATAGATTGTCAGAATGCAGCAGCAGATAATACATCCGAACTTCAGCAAACTGGTGGATGTCAAAAAGCCAGAGGTAACAAACTTTTTTTTAAATGCATGTTTCTTTTTTTTCTTCTGAATCTTAAGTCTTTCTTTTTTAGGCAGAGATAGTTTTCACGGGCAAAAACTGTGCATATTTATACATGAATTTGATTTTTAATTACTGAAGAGGTTTTTATGATTTTGTTGAAAGATTTTTTTCAGACTTCAACAAGAAATTATTGTAACCATGAAAATACAACTAGCTTTTTAATATATAAATTAGAATACTGTAAAAAAATCTGAAAGTAAGACTTAATTAAAAAAAAAAAAAAAAAAAAAAAAAAAAAAAAAACCAGAGTTCCATTTTTGCAAGATTACAATTTAATTAAAGACACCAGGGATAAGAAACAACCAGAGATGCTATTTAATGTTTTTATGCATTATACTAAAGAAGGGGGAATACACTCAAAAAAAAAAAAAAACTATTTGATGAAAAAAATGTAAAATTTTTCAAATTTTGCTTATTATATATCATCTGACAGTACCTTTTCATAGAGTTTTACACCCATCAAACTTATATATTTTATGTTTAAGTGCATGCATACTCATTAATTTTATACGTACACTTACACATTTATACGACATTTTATACTCCCCAAATTGGAAACAATAAAAAAAAAAGGTTGAAAGATACAAATTACACAGATACATATTTTAAATTCATATTCAATATGAATATGAATACACAGATACATATTCAATATGAATATTAAAATGATCCAACTTCACAAAGAAAACTTTGTTCCTGGAATGCTGCTTTTTTTGTAATTTTATTTCCTAACAAGCTATTAAGCAGTTAATAGTTGTAAAAACTTAATAAGCAACAATATTTTTATAATGCTCAAAATACTTGGGTCAAATCCTTCATTTCAGTATTTTAAATACTGAACTGAATAAATCACGATGATAATAGGTTAGTGAAAAGAATTTAAGGTACATAAAAGGCACAGGTACATACAAACTTGTTTAAAGTTTATAAAAGCTTCATCATAAAGTCAATTATTACCAGTCAGAAACTGCTACATAAAAGCAATTCAGAAGAATACTACACAACTTCCCTTTCATCATAGAGTAAAGGTTAGACCAATATACGGATTATGAAGAAAATATTCAAAGTAGTTTTTTAATACATATATTTAGCTTTTTAGTTTGAACAGGGCAGACTGCAAGAAAAATAAAGGAAACAAAATGTAACAAAATGAATGAAGTTTTTGTTAAAATAAAAGGGCAGAAAGCAAAATCATAAAAGATTTGAGAAGTTAAACTTTACTCTGATAAAATGTTTCTTTCTCATTAAAAATAGTTCACTACACCTTTTTCAAGTACAGTGCAACAAGTAGCAAAATGATTATAACCAAACTAAACCAATAAATTATAAACCAAAATAAGCTATGTTTACATTATCTGCTGTATGTGAAATATCAGACTGAAAGCAAACCATGATATATGCAAATGCACTTTTCTTAAGGTAAGATTAACCTTTTTAATTTTAATGTGATTTGCTTTTAATGTGATTTTTAATTTTAATGTGATTTGCTTTTAAGCAAATTTATTTCAAAAAGAGTATTGTGCTTCTGGACAATGGATTTGTTGAAAGCTGAAAACTGTTACAGCCTGATTAGTTATGAATAAATACCAAAACTCTTCATTGGAAACTTATTAGCAAATCACCATTCTATAGTTACATAATCAGCCTAAAGCTATGTTTTCTTAGCATCTGCCTTTCTCTTTTGTTCTTGTTTGTTTTGTTCTCTTCTTCATCAGCTTTCGTAAGACTCCTAGATTACGCAAAATATATTTAGCCTGACTTTTTATATAAACAGTTGCGAGAGAGACCATTTTCAACACATAACACATCTATACTTTTAATTATTTTATGAATAAATTTATTGTTATTTACATTTTTATACACAAACCTAAGCATAAATATGAATAAAATTGCAAATATTGATAGACTATCAGATGTCATTATTATTTCATAATTGTTTTCAGTACCTGCTATATTCAAAGTATTAGTTCACACAATTTCTCAATACATGCTGTATTTTCATTTATCAAGTGAAAAGATGAATTTACATAAGAACAAAACCAGTTCTAAATAAAATTGATAAAGCAGCTATAAAAAAGCATACTTAAGAAAGTAAATCTTACTTTGATTTCCACATATGAGTTTTTACGAAGTTCACTCGTTTGAAGACCAGAGTTACTATCAATCCACGAGCGAGATCCGTATATGAAAGTAATAGGGATATCTTGTTTCAACTGAGATATTCTTTTAAGCATTGGACGTTTGGCCCATCCAAAGTGTGCAGTCATTGCTTTAAATGCAGATTCTCCACTTAAAAAATTAAATCATACATAGTTTATATTACAGACTTACAATGTAAGGAAATTACAATAGCAACTACACTGGTTATCATAAATTAAGAAAACAATCACAAAAATAGCAATAACTCCCTCAAAAATAAGCCAAACCGTGTAAAATTTGAATATGTTGTCAAGTAAGAGTAGCTGAGTACAACTGCAATATGCAAATTAGTGGCACTGCGCTCAGAATACATCCTCTGCAAGGAGCATAAAAGTTCACTTATGAGAGCAAGCCCACATATTTCACTGTGATAGTGACATCAGAAATCTGAGAGAGCCAATTCATTACAATGACCTCCAGGCATCACTTGCCTGCAGAACTATGATGGAGAGCCATTGGGAGACTAGAGGAAGGACAAAGTCAAACAGAGGTGCCCAGATGGCTAAAATGTGAGTCCTTCTGTGGTTTACAGACTTTGGAGGCAATTTCAAACCAGATTCGGTATCTAGGAGGTTCAGCCAAGGTCAGCCAACTGCTACGATGAGCGTCGATGACTGATATTTGACATTATGTGCAGCACAGGAATAGAACCACTACTCAGTTTCTTCTTAGATCCTCCCTTGCTGCAGACACTGGAAGGTTGGTGCCAACATCAACTGTGCATAGAAGGCTTTAACAGGGCTGGCATTGTAGATGATTATCTTCAACAGGAAACAATTATGTGCATGGAGTGGCCAGCTCGATCCCTGGACTTGAATCCAATCGAGCATGTTTGGGATGCTTTACAGAGACGTCTAGCTGCTCTCAATACGCCCCCCTCAGACCCTTGTCACGCTTCGCTTTGCAAGAGCAATGGCTCTCGCTTCCTATGGAACTGATAGAATGCAAAATTGAAAGCATCACACTTCTCTGTATGTGCTGTATTGCTTCTAGAGGCGATCATACTCCATATTGAAGGTACTTTTCCTATAGCAAACTGACACCTTCGATTCGTTCATTTTATACATGTGCTAATTTTTATACTACCATATTTGTCTGGTAATTTCTTTTTATGTTATTTGATGCCTTACTATGTGTTGTATATTATGGGTAAGTTTCATTAAATTCTACATGTAACTTTTTCAGTAATCGTGATTTTTGTGATTTTTCCTTAATTTACGATAACCAGTGTATAATAAAAGCAAATTAACAGAAAATTAAGACAGAAATGTTTAACAGGTTAAGCATGCATGACCAAACTACCTATGGGAAAAGAGATCTTTGTTGAGGATTTTCATAAGGAGAACAGTTCATATTTAAATTATGTCTGTAGAAAGCTACACAATAACCATGTAGTCAGCTTGCTCACAGGGGTTTAAACCAATGTTAAAAAATATTACTTATTTGGCCGGTCACTGCAGCAAATTAAAGCAGAAAAATATTTTCCCATAAGCCATTTAAAATAGAGGGCTAAAATTATTATTCATTCTTCAACACTGTTTGATTTTCCTTTAATAAATGCCTAGTAACCAAGCTATACAATTAGGATTTGTTGAAATTTAAACCTTTTAGCTGAGCATTAAAAAACACGAATAAAAACTAATGACAAGCAAAAGTTAACAGAATTACATCTACCAAAATTGATGTTTGTTTCATATAATCAAAAGCAATAAATTTAGAAAAATTATGGCTTTTGAAATGACAGTAAAATATTTTACGATATTTACATGATCGACTTCTTCATAGTTAGATTAAATTTCGTATGAACACACAAATCATAAATATCAGTTAAAAATGAATGGATGACAAAAAAAGTAAATCCATATATATTTGAAAATGCATTCATGTTATATTAAATACTGTCCATGATGATATCTTGATGAAAAGTTTTGGAGCTTTAAGGTCTGAAAGAATTGTGGCTTGTACGTGGAAACCATCAAAATCCCATGCCCACTTAAACCACCAAGTGAACTTATGATCTACTAGAATTCAGAGATCTTATTCACTTAAACTGCTGATGGGTTAGATCTATCAGCATTAAAGCAAGTTTCATGAATAGCAATTTAATTAGTACAGGTTTAAAAAAGCTCTAGATTCTGGTAAAGAATTAGTATAACATTTAAAATTAAACTGAGCAGACATCAATTTTTTACACATAAGGCAATCATAGGTTGCCAAAATTGCAGAAAACCTAAATTTATTATGAATTCATGCATACTGGTAAATACTTGAATGCACACATTTAACATATTTAATTTATTTATAGTTAGGAGACTTGATGAGAATAAATATGGAGCATGAACATTCTATCAACCATAAAAACTTTGTTAAAAGCTAATACTGATATTGCATCAGATTTTGAGTAGAATAGAGTTAGGCTTCTCTAATTTTTTAATATTGTTATGAAATGTGCAGCTGCAGTAAGATAACTTAGTCACAAAGCAGGTTTAGGGTTGCCAAAAAATGGCAAGGGAAGGCAGGGTTGCCAGATATGACATGGAATTGCCCAACTGGCGACATGCCATGGACTGAGAACATTCTGGAACAAATTCTTAACAGTTTGTCTCAGAATGTTCTCGAAAGCCACCCAAAAGCTAAATAAACCTTGCCTGTACGTGGAGTAGCAGTTGACTGTCAGTCTAGTGTCATCAAGTTGATTGTCGAGTCTATCGCAAGTTAGTGCATCGCGAGTGCCTCAGCAGCCAATCAAGTATCTTGTATAGTCTAGTGTCGAGGTGTCTGGGCCGCGCATCGCGAGTTGGTGCATTAAGAGCATGCAGCATCGAGGCTATTGAGTGCATCATGAGTTGTAGCAACAGAGAGTCTCGAGAGTACATTGAGTTCCAAGAATGACCGAACTGAGTCGGGAGCTGGACTCTAGTGCTTTGCCATGAAGCTGTTTTCACCGTTAAAGCTCAATAGCCTGAAGGCTGTGTTGCTGATTGTTTCATCGTGTTTATAGTAGTTTTTCAATGACTATAAACATATTTTTGGAGTTGTCCTGAGTAATACTGGCTAATAAATTGTGTTTTCATTCTTCATCAAGTGTTGTCATCAATCGCTCAAAATCTACGAACCCGTAAGAAAAATACAGCACATATTTCGTTTTCTTTGACGTTACAATCTATAATATTTTTGGCGATAAGTAGATGATACGAAAACTTCAGAACCCTTACTGATCAATGCTCTAAACCTGCCATCTTTTAGAAAATGCACTTTTAAATTCTCAGGTTCTGAAGACTCTTCTTTGCAAACAACCATCACCCAAATCAGAACTAAATAGAGGATACAATCATAGAATTTACATTATAAAAATGCTTTTACATTAATTCAAACTTTTCTTAAAAAGTTTTTGAAATCAAAACAGTATAGATTTAAAAAGAAATTAAAAAATATTTGATAAGAAACAGTCATCAATCAATACATGACTAGTTGCAAGAACAGCATTTTCTATGCTCATGCTTGTACTGGTTTAATGTTTCAAAATGACAAGAATATAAGTATTCTTTACATAATAAATAAGAAGGAATTACCTTGGAGATTGAGCATTACAGTGATATATATAATTTGATACAACATCTGGATCCAGAGGATCAAATTTTCGTATTATATCGGGACGCAACTTTGGAATCAACTGTGGTCCTAAGATATTAAAAGAAATATAAACATAAATATAAAATTGTAAAACTAAAATTATAGAAAAGTAATTATTTATAATCCTTAAACTTAAACAAGGAAAAGTTTCAAAATAAGATGAGTATATCTTCAGTTAATAATTCAACAACCACTAGGAATATATAGATATCTACATAAAACAAGTACAAAACAATTTTTGCACTAATATATTTATATACTCTAATTTTGCAAATGTTTTCTTAAGCTTTTGAATCCATGCAGTTTATAGTCCTGTACTTCTCAGCATTTATTTAAAGAGCCTCTTATAAAAATTTTCCTTTTTTTCCTTCCACTTTGTTCAACAAACAACAATCTGGCAAACTGAAATAAATTTTTAAAATTATGTCAATAAACAGTGTCTGATTCTTTTAAAATGCAGAGCTTTTCTATAAAACTGAAATCAATTTAAGGTTGAATTTTGCTAAAATTCAATAGTTTAATATTCAATATATTATTCAATGCTTAGAAAATTAAAAATGGACAATATATAAATCTCATAACAAATGAAAATTAAAATGACAATCATATATTCCAGCTAGTGAGGTAAGTATTCAAAAAACAACTTTAATTTTTTAACCAAAAGTGTGGAATTTCAGATTTAAAGCGAAGAACAGGTGTCGGCATTTTACGGACAGAATTTATTCTCATACTTATTCTATACTTATTCTACAAATTAAATTATTTCTACATGAAGTTTAAAATAATAATAGAAAATAAAAATATCAGACAACATGCACCAAGAATTTATACAACTAATCTTTTACAGCAAACACATCGAGTACAATATACCTTACTGGTCTAATACATGACTGCTTTATATGTAAGAAGGCCGGCATTGTTTTAAAGGTGTCATCTTATAAAAAAGAAAAAAGGGGGGCATCTTGCATGCAAATTGATATGCTGAATAGCCCAAATGAATTTTACTTAAGATAAATATGAAAAATAAACTGCCCAAATACTTCACTTTGGGAATAAAACTAAATAAACATATTTTCTCTGAATGCAATGCAATTTTTAAACATTTAAGTGCATAAGACAAATTTAGGTTTGAGAAAGAAATTTTAACACAATAAACAGCATTTATATTTACAAGAAGAAAAAATATTTCTGCATGTTTCAAAAAAATATAAAAAGCATATTTCAGTGAACTATTTTTTAGCTTTGTAAACATAATCAAATTAACATAAAAGTAGTTCCATGATATTCAAAATTATCAGTTTTAAATGGGCTTATTTTTTCACTATGCATCATATTTTTATAAAATTATATGTATTTATAATGCATTTAATAATGCTCAAGTTCAAATTTTGGGTGAGTTGTTAAAGCTTTCATAAGACCTAAAAATAACAGCAAATATTATGGGAAGGGAAGAATTTTAATAATGCTCAAGCTCAAATTTTGGGTGAGTTGTTAAAGCTTTCATAAGACCTAAAAATAATAGCAAATATTATGGGAAGGGAAGAATTTTCCCATAGAATCCCTCCTTAAATTAGTGATAAGAATTACACTTTCTCCAAAAAGATGTTGTGCAGGTGGGGGAGAAAGAACAAAGATGGAACTCAGAAGACATACTGCATTTCCTGGCCAATAAGATGCATTATGATTTATCATGTTAGAATTTATGAAAATTACTTAGATCAGACAGAAAATGATAGAAATACCTGTTTTAATGATAACACTATATACAACGAAAACAGAACTGTTACTTGTCTGTTTCCTTACATATGTGATCTGCCCTTCCATCTAGCGCATTGCTAATTCCATTCTTTAATTCCATTCTTTTAAAGAATGGAATTAGCAATGGTAATTTTATGGTAGTCTCACTTTTAACTTTGTCAGGACTTTTCCACACACTCATAAACATTAGAAATTGACAACTGCTTCATTCTTCCCATTGGTGAAACGTCATAAATTAGCATCTCAATCAATTTAACCACCCTACATGCACCCTTTGAACCAGTGGTTCCCAAGCTTTTCCGAGTCACAGTGCTTTTCTTCAATTAAAATTTTTTCATGGTGCTCTACATTAAGCAAGAGTACGACTAATTATAACTAAGAGTTAAAATAAATAAAACTTGTGTACTTTCATTATTTAAATTTTTTTACATTATTAACATTATATTAATAATTAACATTAGTAACATCAAATTAATGTCACGGATGAGCCTTCAAATCATGCAAATTATTTTAAATCGTGGAATTTAATTGGATATGATCATCCTCATTTCCTTTTCCACACTGATGTTTACTTTATACTTGCTTTTTATTACAGCACACCAAAAACCCAGCTTTGCATAAATATCACGTTCAAAAGAGAATTAAAATCCACTGAGCCTTATCACTCAACAGCAGATATTCATTTTTTATTGAAATCCAAAATTCTGTCAATTCCATGCTGCCAAATTTTGCTTTCAAACTGCTATCGCAACATAACTCTATAAGCTTCTCTTCTTCCACAGAAGTAAATTCAGGTGGAGCACTAATGTTAATATGGATGTTGAATCCATTTAAATTTATTGAAATTTTCATTTTGAAAGTATTTATCAAACCAGATAATTAGCTAATATGTGCTCAATAAACATGGTTTTTATATCTTGAGAAAGATTGTGTTCATCTGACGTCAAAAATTGCTGTAATATTAAAAAACAATCTTTTCCTGCATCTTCTCCATAGTTTGAGGTTTTTTTTTAATAAATGCTGATATTTTTTCTGTTGACTTCAAAAGTTGTATGTGTTTTCCCTGCTGAGAGAGATTGAGGAAATTAAGCTTTTGAAACATGTTGCATAAGTATGTCAGTTTTACCGAAGAGTTGCATCAGCAAAATCTTCTACACCTTTGCACCTTTCTTTAACGAGAATAACAACTTCTTGCCGCAATTGAAAGGTACATGATAAAACATTACCACGAGACAGCAATTGTGCACTGTTATAGTAGAACAAAAACTAGTGTTCAGCTCCCATATCCTCGCACAGTTTTTTAAAAACCTTGCTTTCAGTGGACAAGATAGTATAAAATTTACCACATTCTAATACCTGATTCAGTGCAGAACTCGAATCCTTTGACGCAAGCACTTGTCTATGAATAATGCAATCAGTCAACAGTGCATTTAGTGATTTACTTCGAATCCTTGTAATCCTCCATAGCAGCCAAAGATGACACAAGTTCCATCAGCACAGACACCATCACAATTATGCTAATTCAAATTATTTCCAGATATGAATGGATCAAGAACCTTGAACAGGTCTTCAGCCTTTGCTCTTGCAGCAGTATTTTTATAAAATGGAAGGTCTTCTTTAATATTATTACCATTTATAAAGTATATATAGCATATCAAATGAGCATCCATATCATTATCCATAGCCTCATCTAGCTGCAATTCAAATTCCACTCTTTAATTTCTTTCAATTAATTGGTCGTTGACAACTTTCATCATATGTCATATTCTCCGACTAACTGTGTTATTGGACAAAGGCATTTTTAAAAGCAACTTCCCAGTATACTCACCAGCCATGATGTTCACTGTTTCTACAGCAGCCAGTAGAATAGGTTCTTCTGCAATGGTATGAGGCTTCTTAAATTTCCCGATTCTGTAAGCCACCTTGTAAGACGCTTGCGAAGCACTGTTTTGCATTGATACAGTCTTTAAAAATACATTTGTTTTGTTGTTCCAGTTCTTTTAACTTCCTCACAAAAAATTCACAAGGTCAGCCAACCATGCTGTGGTGATTAGCTTCTAAATGGTGCTTTAATTTAGTTGGAAGCACACACTCCGCTGCAAAAACTTTCATACACAACACACATTGCAGTCTCTCTTCACCACTCATTTCTGTTGACACAAAACCAGACACTAAATATCTGTCATCATATTCACATTATTTTCATTTCTTCACAGTTATGCCACTTGCTACTGTTTTTATTTGCAGAATTATGTTTATTATTGTTCAAAATCAGTCCATTATCAAAAAACATATTAGAACAAAAAATAGATACAAGAGCAAAAAATCACAAAACAGTGTCAAAGACACCAAACAAGAAGTAATATAACAATAGTTATACTACATGAACTAATTTATAACACTGTTCATTTATACGAAGCACTGAGCTTAATTTCACGAGATTTAGATTATAAACTAACAGACTGAAGCCGGCAGTGCTAAGTTGAGAGAGAACACTGGATATAGTTGAAAGTGTGTGCATCCACTGTAGAATATAGTTCTACCATTTCGAGACGCCGTATTGTAAAAATTATGCTATGGAATATAAATACTGTTCAACAAAGAGAACGCAATGAAAAAAATATGCATGAAATGATAGATTACATTGCATCCAGCTTTTTATTTAAAAATTTGTTAATATCATGTCAATCATTTGATCACCAATAGAAAGACATCCCTTTTCCGGCATTACTGGCGAAGCTGAAAATTTAAGCAAACTTTCAGCTCAACCCATTCTTGATGAGAAAAGAAATTAAAGCATTCATTCTTTCACTGAAAAAGAAGAGAAGCAACTACTATAGCATCTGCTTCATCTTTGACATATTTCTATAATTTGAGAGCCTCATGAGGCTGGGAAACTACTACGCAGTTCCAATAAGATTACCATTATGAATGTTTATATCAAATTACTGGAGCATTTTCCTAATAAATCTGGCAACAAAATTGCCAATTTTGCCACTGATCTGACTGGTGTTTCTGTGACAAGCATAAATCACATGAGATCTGAACAGAAAGAAAATGGTGAGTTTTCGACTCTTAGGGGGGGGGGAAATGACCTAGTTAGTGCACGCAAACCTGTATCAAATAACATGATGAGCTTAACTTTAACAACAATGCAAAGAAAAGTTTACAGTTTCTTTTTAAGGAATGAGCCACGAAAATGTCATTCTAGCTTTGTACATCTTTTCTGGTTAGTGAGATCTTTTCTTTTCTGGTTAGTACATCTTTCTGGTTAGTTTCTTTCTGTTCCG